AATAGTTAATAAAATTAAGGTAAAATAAATCACTGTATTTTACTTGTAGGTATACCTATAGTTTTATTGCTATATGTTTTTTCTTAGGACCAGACAAAATAGAACAAAACAATTTAGAAAATAAGGTACCAATAAATATAAAAAACCACTCTTGTGTGTACTGTGACTTTACAACATTGAAAAATGATTTATAAATACAGTAGAATAAAAGTTAAAACGTACTTTTGTATGTACTGTGACTTCACAATAAAGATGAACCCTTACAAAGGCACATATATTTGAAACATAAAAAACAAAATGATTTATACAAAAAGTTTTAATAAAGTGCAAACCTACTCTAGTGTGTACTGTGACTTTGCAATATTTGTTAAAAAAAACTCTGCATGAATGAACAAAAAAAGTTAAAAAATAAAGTGACATACACCTTTCTTGATGATAATATAATGAGCGTTTTCGTTCTTCAAGACTAACATAGATACCACAGATATGTTGTAAATTTTATACATATAGAATATATAAACTAAGGGTCGTTTACCTAATACGTAACGCTATGATTACACTATCCCCCTTGGACGTCACTTCACGTCATGTAAAGAAAGTTTTTTAAAAATAACTTTTTTGAAATATTTTTTTGACAATACAATTCATTAATATTAGAACCAATAAAATTCCAGTATTCCATAGTGACGTATTTTATCACAGCGGCAATAATTTTTATTATCTTGTTTACACGTTACTAAGAATTTTGACACTTTTTTTGATTTAACATCTGTTATCATTTAAATTCTGTATTTGATATATATCAATAAAATAATGAATTATAAACTCTAAAAGATCGATGGGTTGGTGTAAACGATAATGAAATTAAGGTAAGTTTGAATAAATAAGGTTTATTAAAGTCTTTTTATATTTTAAAGCACATTTTAATTTTAAATGTCAATCTGACAAATTTTTTAATTCCTAAAATTCATTATATTTTCTCACTAAATATAACTCGTGGTATGATTAATAATCGATGATATTTACTCATTGAAACCGAAGCAGCACATTTCACTCGTCCTGCGGACTCGTGAAATCTGCAGCTCGGTTTCAATACGAAAATATCATCGATGATAATCATACCACTTGTTATATTATGGGTGACACAACATTTATTGATAATCAAAGAAAACATTTGTTGGGTTTTTTCTTATTGTTATGTTTATATTTTAGTATTGTAACTAAATGAGTCATTTTAGATCATATTTAATGCCTATGTGTCTAATTCCTGATAATAATTATTATTGGGAATATATAAATCCGTTAATATTTTAATTCCCCATTTATAAATAAAAAGCTTCAAAATCAAAATGTCCTGCTAAAGAGATAAACAAGCTACGTTTAGCCAGAAAAAAATATTTTGGTACAACTGGAGTAGATATGATGGCACTTTGAGGAGCATGCGCAGTGGCGTTCTTTTTGGATGAATGCTGACGTCATATTTAAAGCCTATTGTCATGCGCAATACAAGCAAAGGTTCCTACAGAAACAATAATGTGTCTTTTGTTGGTTTAAATATTTTTATTACTCTCTTATTAATTAAAATTGTTTTTAGGAGATTAGGCAATTAAATGAATTTAAAATATTCCAAAACCAAATAAAAATAACCTCATAAGTAAAGTATACATTTAAAAAAATAAATTCAAATATGCCTATTTTAGCTTTGAAATGTATTAATATGTAACAATAATATAATAAAAAATAATAAAAAACAAATTTGGTTTGATTATTTGAAAATCGCCTGTGGGGCCTCATAACTAGATATTTTTAATTAAAATTTAAGCACGCCACTGCTTTGAATTAATTGTGTTATTCTATAAAAAATACAATATTTTGTCCCTTGCATTGTTTGTCTATCTTGCCTTATTTAAAAAAAAATAATCTAACAAATTCATTTTATTTCAGTAAAACATCAAGCATATGTGGATACAGCGAATGTTTTTTCTCAGGACCAGACTATGATGTAACACAACACATGGCTAAAGATCATAAACAAAAAGCAACAAAAAAAAATCATCAAAAAATTAAAACTTTTCCCTGTGTGTACTGTGACTACACAACAGTGAAAAACCGGTTGTTACAGAAGCACATCTACAGCAAACATAAGGAACAAAATGATTTAGAAAATAAAGTAGCAATAAAAATAAAAATCCACTCTTGTGTGTACTGTGACTTTACAACAGTAGTTAAACGGTTGTTGCAAAGCCACATCCACAAAAAACATAAAGACCAAAATGAGTTAGAAAATAAAGTATTAGTAAAAATAAAAACTTACTCTTGTGTGTACTGTGACTTCACAGCAGTGGAAAGTCATAAACTACAATGCCACATGTATAGAAAACATAAAGAGCTAAATAAGTTAAAGAAAAAAGTAGAAATTAAGATAAAACCTTTCTCTTGTGTGTACTGTGACTATACAACAGTTGAGAACCGGTCATTACAAAATCACGTATATAGAAAACATAAAGAACAAAATGAGTTGGAAAATAAAATACCAATAACAATAAAAACTTACTCTTGTGTGTACTGTGACTACACAGCAGTGGAAAGCCGAAAGATGCAATATCATATCTATAATAAACATAAAGAACAAAATGAGTTGGAAAAGAAAGTTCCTATAAACACTTTCTCTTGCGTGTACTGTGACTTCACAACAGTTGAGCACCGAATTTTACAAAGGCACATTTATACTCAACACAAAGAACAAAATATGCTGGAAAAGTAGATATGATGGCACTTTGAGGAGCATGCGCAGTGGCGTTCTTTTTGGATAAATGCTGACGTCATATTTAAAGCCTATTGTCATGCGCAATACAAGCAAAGGTTCCTACAGAAACAATAATGTGTCTTTTGTTGGTTTAAATATTTTTATTACTCTCTTATTAATTAAAATTGTTTTTAGGAGATTAGGCAATTAAATGAATTTAAAATATTCCAAAACCAAATAAAAATAACCTCATAAGTAAAGTATACATTTAAAAAAATAAATTCAAATATGCCTATTTTAGCTTTGAAATGTATTAATATGTAACAATAATATAATAAATAATAATAAAAAACAAATTTAGTTTGATTATTTGAAAATCGCCTGTGGGGCCTCATAACTAGATATTTTTAATTAAAATTTAAGCACGCCACTGCTTTGAATTAATTGTGTTATTCTATAAAAAATACAATATTTTGTCCCTTGCATTGTTTGTCTATCTTGCCTTATTTTAAAAAAAATAATCTAACAAATTCATTTTATTTCAGTAAAACATCAAGCATATGTGGATACAGCGAATGTTTTTTCTCGGGATCAGAATGCGAAGTAAGCCAACACATGATCAACGACCATGAATGTAAGCCATCTAAAAAAAATAAAACTTTCTCTTGTGTGTACTGTGACTTTACAACAGTAAAGAATAAAAAGCTACAATTCCACGTATATAACAAACATAAAGAACAAAATGAGTTAGAAAAGAAAATTGAATTAAACATAAAAACATACCCTTGTGTGTACTGTGACTTCAGAGCAGTGGAAAGTCATAAACTACAATGCCACATGTATAGAAAACATAAAGAGCTAAATAAGTTAAAGAAAAAAGTAGAAATTAAGATAAAAACTTTCTCTTGTGTGTACTGTGACTATACAACAGTTGAGAACCGGTCATTACAAAACCACGTATATAGAAAACATAAAGAACAAAATGAGTTGGAAAATAAAATACCAATAACAATAAAAACGTACTCTTGTGTGTACTGTGACTACACAGCAGTGGAAAGCCGAAAGATGCAATATCATATCTATAATAAACATAAAGAACAAAATGAGTTGGAAAAGAAAGTTCCTATAAACACTTTCTCTTGCGGGTACTGTGACTTCACAACAGTTGAGCACCGAATTTTACAAAGGCACATTTATACTCAACACAAAGAACAAAATATGCTGGAAAAGAAAGTAAAAACATACTCCTGTGTGTACTGTGAATATACCTCAAGTTATAGTCAAGGATTACAAAAACACACATTTTTAAGACATAAAGAACAAAACGAGTTGGAACAAAAAGTGGAAATAACCATAAAAACTTACTCTTGTGATAACTGTTACTACCATACCGTGCATAAAACATATTTTTACAAGCATGCATGTAAAAATTTAGTATAGAAATTACAGTGGCTTTTAGTGGATGTAACGTGGTCTTATTAATGGCTTCTGTCAATTTGTTTAAATTAAATATTGCTTTTATGTCTAATCTAATTTTAGAATTAGATTTTTTTCATTTCTTTCATAATCACCCCTTCCTTTTCAACTCCTATTTGCTCCTGGGGGGTTATCAAATTTCATAAAAAAATATATATTTTTAAGTTAACTAAAAAAATAGTATTTTTTTTATATAAAGGCGAAAACATTTTTGTTATGGATTTTTTATTAGCAAGACGCCGCTGTTGTGATAGAAGTAGAGGTCGTGGTAAAGGGTGGGGGTCCTAAAAAAAATAACTACACTTTTCATTTATAGCCTGTTTGTTTTCAGACAGTACCTATAATTTTTTTTTTATTAAATTTTAAGTAAGAAAGTTATTGGTATTTAAAGTGACAAAAAAGTTAACGTAAATACCAGATACTAAGCATAAAATTTATAAATACTATTAATGGCTTTCAATATAGTGCCAGTACTATACTTTTTTTTTATTTATTTATTACACCTTAAAAGAATACAAGATTTCATATCAGGTACCTCATGTAGGTAATATTAAATATTTATAATTAATAATTAAGAGTTACAATTCAAATTATCACTGTAGTATCACAATTTTTCTTTTATATTTACATAGTATTTCTTATTGATATATAATGTTCTTGATCCATATACATAGGTGAATTTTTTCAAGTTTTGTTAAATTATTTAGCTATACTATACTATATTATATAATAAATTCTTAACCTAAAAAATACTTTTAAAAGATAATCCAATGTGAAGGAAAGCATTTTCCGAGGGGGAAACCACCTTCCGCAATACGTGTACATTTGGCCCGAAATCACTCGCAATCGCCGAAATCCCTACCCGCAATCCCGCAGTCACTTCGCAATCGCCGAAATCCCTACCCGCAATCCCGCAATCGCCGAAATCCCTATCTGCAATCCCGCAATCGTGGAAATCCTATACTTGCAATCCCGCAATTGATCGAATTCGACGATGATGGGGGTATAAATCGGCAACGCCTGCGCTCTGCAGCCATTTGCATAAGATTGGCGGAAAGTATACGTTGGTACCTATGCATTTTAAAAAACAATTGTTTATAGTGTTTGTGAATTTTGCGATTTAGACTGAATCATTCAGCACATGTGGTAAGACTGGTTAGTACATATCAAAGTTAGATACTAATCTATTACGCGTATTTCGCCCCGTTAGGGATTCCATCGAAACGAGACAAAAGAATGCCCCCTCTCGCCGAGAATCTCTCTCGATTTTTCCGGTACTTAAAATCAAACAGATATTTATTTAATATAGATATACCGCAAGCTATACATAGGGAAAATACATTGTAGGTGGACCAGACAAGTTGAAGTCAGCGCAAAGCGAAAAAGTTCTCAGAAATTATTTGGACGTAATAAAATTTTAATCGCCAGTAAACAAGGTCACCTGTTACGTCGCATGTTAGTCTACTAATCCACTCGTCAAAATAATTTCTGGGAACATTTTCGTTTCGCGCTGACCGCGCCGACTTCGACTTGTCTGTTCCACCTACAATGTATTTTCCCTATGTATAACTTGCAAATGAAGGTACGGTAGAATTCCATATCACCACGCATGTACACTGAAAGAAATTTGTTGCTAAAAGTAAATACAAATTTATACTAAAAATTTTATACTAGTGCTTTACACATTTATACTACTGTTTATTATGAATGTATGGTAAATTTTGTAATACATTTATTGTAAAGAAGATATGTTAGATCTAAATAAAAATAAACTTACCCTTACTATAAAATGTAAACTATAAGTGAATTACAGCAAAAAAATATTGCTAGAAACACCATTTATATTGCTAGGGCAGCAATAGGCTGCTAACCAAACGAATATATTTGTTTTAGCAATGTATGTGGTAGTCTATATATGAAACATAAAATATATTTGCCCTAATTATTTTTTTATTTAACTTTAGTATATATTTCTTTCAGTGTACGTACTGTGCACCTTTGATTTATTTGCCGCCGTTAATATAAATTTCCTGAAATAGTAATTCTGTATAACACATTAAGAATACCTACTTGTTTTAAATTTTAAAGTAATCGCAAATGTTTTTAAATATAAGATTTGAGAAAAATATGTTATTGATGAATAAATTAATTGAAGACACTAGTGAATAAAGCGTCTAAGTGACCAAATTTTGACACTTTGTTTTTTGGTTTGGTTTTTCAATTATTGACAAGTATGTGTATGTGCATTTTTTTATAAATTATTGACATTAATAAAATTAATAGAATAATGATGTTTAGTAACTGCTTAAACAATCACTAAACACACACTAAAACAGTTATAACTCTTATAAGAGCCAATGGTTGGTTTTGTGTGTATGTGGTTTTTGAGGTCACTCATTAGGAATTTGGTATCCATTTTTTTAAAAACAAAATGGCTGATCTAATATGGCGGACATTTGTCGTTCAGCTTTAACGATTTGGATGAAATTTTGTATAAAGATATTTTTGGGGTAGCTGATTATGAGTTTTATATAATTTTTTTTTAACAAAATTGCGGATTCAAAATGGCAGATATCTGTGCGCAATAAATACTAGATGACCGTACCTATGTGCAGTGGTTACCAGATGACTGTACCTATGCGCAGTAGTTACTAGATTACCTATCTATGCGCAGTAGTAAGGTGCACTTCCGGCGTAAAAAGTTTTACTTTTACACAATTTTTTTTATTTCGTGTTTAAATTTCAACAGAAAAAAGTTTTGTACCAATTTTATCCAAAATATTTTTTTGTGTTTTAATTTTATAGCTACTTCGAGAGAAGAGTATTCTCGTCGAGACGTGGACCCATTTTCTCTCCCTGTACGAGACGAGACAAAAGAAACACTTCTCTTCTTTTCTCGTTTCGCGACATCACTACGCAACGTCAACAAAAATTAAGTCTAATTATCGGCGCACCAGACCCGTTTTTTGTTTTTTTTTACTTTAGCGGTGTTTTTATGTCGGTTTTTATTCTGGCGACTGTTTAACTAAAATAAAATTGAATTAGTCCAAAGAAAAAAAATTCGACTATTTTTCAGTTGGTCCCATTTTTGACACTTTTTGGAGGGTAGGGAAGTTATTATCAGAGATAAGAGTTTTGCGGTTTTTACTTCAATGTCCTATTTTTTTCACGAAACAAAAGATCCCGGTGTCAAATTTGCCATAGCCTTCTTAATTCGTATTCTACAGAGTAATACTAAAAATTACCAGTGGAATGGAATGTGCGCAGAGAATTAAAAAAAAGTTTCATGGCTTGTAAAATCCTCATATATTTTTGAGAGGTTCTGACACTGATTTTCTTTCGTTTAAAGAAAGGTTTTTGAAAAAAATCAACATGCTTCTTCTAATTAATAGCCGTGAATATTTTTTTTAAACGCCAAAAACAAATAAACAGGGCATTTCGATAATTAGAATTAATTACTAAATGACGACATAAAAAAATGAGCTGCAAAAAAAGTACCCATCTACATTTGACACCAAGTTATGATTTCTATTTACGTCGATTTATTTATTTTTTTATTAGAAAATGGAATTTCCTCAGGAAGTTTACGAATCGAGTAGTGAAATACAAAATTCCAAAGTTAAAAGATCAAAATGTAAAACTATAACAATTTTTAAGGCATGATTTTAAGGAAACGGTTCATCTGACAGAAAATTTCGTTTTTACATTTTTTGTAGATCATTCAATTTTCTTCAAAAAATATTTTCGAGTAAATTTTGTTAAACTCAAAGGTTTGGGTTGGGAGTTCTGGGACAAAAACTTGCTGAGGAAAAAAAAAATTAAAACTGCGATGATAGACCTCTTAATATTAATATTATGGACTCAAATTTTCACAATATTTTTTTTGTCACCCCAAACCATATTTTCGATATAGGTACTTTTCAAAAAAAAAATAGTTGATCTTTTTGGCCCAGTCTAATGTAGCCCGTATTCAATTTTAAAAATATTCATTTTTTGTTCCACCCTAATGTTTACTTTTATAAAACTACTTAAAAGGTTAAAATTAAAATAATAAAAATATTTAAACAGTATAATGGTTTTTCTAGACTTGCTAACTGACTTTTTCCTTCCTTTTTTTGCTTTAGTGAGTTTAAGAAACTCAATACCTTTATGCTTAAAAAATAAGGTAGGTAGATTTTGTACAATTAGAGGGGATTGTCCATGTCACATTATAACATCTTGCGACATGGACGTCATATAGACTATTTTTGCACAAATTAACTACCGAATCAAGCTAGCAATCATGTCTACAATTCAACCCTACCCAACGGAAATCGTCTCACAATCCCATTGCAGCCCTGCAATCACTAATTTCATGTCGCAATCCTCCAAAATCCCAACAATTTATAAAGAATTCTCCGAAATCACCGCAATCATTCCGAAATCATGGGATTTCGGTCGCAATCCTCCGAAATCGCAACAATTTATAAAGAATTCTCCGCAATCATTCCGAAATCATGGGATTTCGGTCGCAATCCTCCGAAATCGCAACAATTTATAAAGATTTCTCCGAAATCACCGCAATCATTCCGAAATCATGGGATTTCCGCAATACGTGTACATATTTTTTGGAGGTGGTTTCCCCCTCGGCATTTTCTGAAGTTTGTGTATTGTTGACAGGACCTATTGCTTGTACTTGAAATTTCACTCGAAATTTTCATGACATTTATGAAATTTATTAAAATTTCCTAAATTTCTGAAATTTCATGAAATTTATAAAATTTATTGAAATTTATGAAATTTTTTGAAACGTTCAATAAATTTCAATCACTTTAAGTGTAATATATTAATATTGAACCTCCTACCCCTCTGTGGGCCCCTGCACCAATAATATAAATAGTAAATAACTGTGTTTACCACAAATTTCTTGAGATTTCCTTTTAAAATATTTTTAAAATTTCTAAAACTAGACACTTTTTGGTAAGCTAATGAGATTGTGCCACTTTCATTGTTTTATATTTATTATTTTTAAATATTTAACTGAAATTTTACGAAAATTAAAGAAACTTCATCAAAATTTTATGAGCCAAAGGCATTTTTTTTCGTTTTCCGATGCAATTATAGCAAAAGTAAAAGTTTAAATTAATCATGACTTTTAAAAAATATTTAAAGTTTGATTTAATTTACAAATTAAATTTGTAACTGAATTAAATTATTTAAATTAATTTATGCATATAAGTAACAATAATTACTTATAGTGTATTCAAATCCAAGCCGAACTAAACAAAAACGCCCAGACGCTTGATAACTCGTTCTTATTGGTCGATTCGGAATCTGTTGTAAATTATTATTAAAGGTCCCAGGGGAGGCCGCATGTGAAATTTTCAGTAAATTGCGAAACTTTCAATGAAATTTCTGAAACTTTCACAGGCAATGTTGAAATTTTCAAATTGAAAATTTCATTTGAAATTTTTAAAAATTTCACTTTTCCAACTAAATGAAATATTTCAAGTTTGAAACTTTCAAAGTTGAAATTTTCATTTGAAAATTTCAACTGTCCCAACCCTACTTGTAGACTTTGCAAGACATCAGAAAACCGTCTTACAGAAATCTTTGTTCGTGCTAGGCTCAAGCCTACTTAACCTGCTGGTAAATCCGCCACTGTGGTAGGGGTAAAGAAAATACTAAGAATTTATTTTTTATTTACTAAACTATTTCATTTAACAGGAGAATTAAAATAAAATCGTCTCGGTTAGTCAGTTTTTAAAAAAGATATGAGAATTTTAAATTAATTCTTAATTATAAATTATATTTTTGTATTGTACTGTTGCCATGGAGACAGTACGAAACGCAAATGTATATTATTGTGCTTATTATGGTATTCAAATAGGAAAAGAAATTTTTACGTAATACTGTGGGACAAGAAAGACTTTCTGCGTTGGCCATGTTATGCATAGAAAAACCGTTTATAAAATTTGGTAATTATAAAAATCGTATTACAAATTAGGTTGCAAATGTTAAAGACGAAACGGTTAACTAACAGAATCTTTTAAATCAATTAAAGAAATTAAAAGTATAGTCGAAAATTGAAAAATTTTAAATAAATTGATTAAAAGTTTTACTTACCTTTAAAAACAATATTAATTAAATATTTGTTTATTAGGGTAAAATATAAAACGCAATGGATTAAATATGTTTTTAATATTTATGAATAACAATAAAACAAAAAATTATAATCTAAGGTTCCATGTCAATAACGCTGGTATTGGCAAATATTTCATGCTCCATAACATGAAATATACTCTTCCAAAAGAGTATTATGTAATTAATTTGATAATAATATCTGCGATGATAAAATTTTAAACGATCAAAGAATCTTGATTGAATATGTATTAATAAAGCAAGTTAGTAAGGAAATGTTTAATCGTTGTAAACACTTTTTAATCAAACTATTTGAAAACATAATAATAAACAAAAAACTTTATATAATTATAGATGCTTTCGATGAAACGGATCTAAAAACTATTGATGAAATTTCTAATTTATTACAAGTTCCCATGGTCATTTCAACAAGAACCACAATGAAAAATATTTTGGAAAATGAACTTTACGTCTCATCATTTAATATAATTCAATTTTCTAGAGAAGATCAAATACAGTTTCTTCAACAATCAAATTCATTATCTGCCGATTATATCAATGGAGTCATTGACGAATTAAAAGTGGAAAAAGTTTTCTTGTAATTCCTTTATTATTAAAACTATTAGTGAAAATTTGCCCTACTTAAATAAAATTAAAAATATTAATTTAACTGTTTTAAATTATAAATATTTAAAAAAATATATAAAACAGTATAGGAACAGAGATAAACACAGCATAAAGTCTTTGGCGCTTCGAAAATTTTTTATGCAGCATTTTAATAAATTCTTTAATGGAGAACAATTTAAAGGGGATTACGAAGACTTTCAAAGAACAGTTAACTAAACAAAAGGTAATGTTATAGACGATTTGATATTAAAGAAGAACCATTTATACACCGAATGTTTGAGTTTTTATGTGCTCAGTATTTAAGTGAATGATGCTTAGAAAACATTTTTTTATAAATATTTTTGAAGAAATATTAATGGATATAAATTTAGATCAAATTAAATATTTATTTGATTTAATTCTATGTCAAGACCTACCCTTGCATTTTGCAGCCTTAAGAAACGATGTCAAACATATATCAATCATGGATGATGATGACAATATAATAAAAACAGATAGGTTGGGTAATACTGTCCTACATATTGTGGCCACTTATGGGAGTTATGATAATTTTATAAGAATCCCGATAGTTCTATAATTAATATGACTTTTACAAAGAAAACTAATCAATTTTTAAAAGCGGATTTATAATAAACACACTCTTAAAAAAAAGTTCTACAAAGAATATAATTTTTGATAAAGATAAATTGAACAATAATTTCATAAATTATATTTTGCTAACCAGAGGTCTTATTATTTTGAATACAATATGCATTTATGTTATTGATATTAATATTGAATTACCAAAATCTTAAGATAAATTTTTCTGAAATATTATGGCTTCTAATTATTATGAATTAGGTACTTGTTGTTTTAATAAATCAATATAAAAAAATAGTTAAAAATACTTTACAGTTTTTAGACCAAATTTTTAGTAAGCCACGGTGTATATATAAATGCACAAGATATAAATGGAGAATTGCCTTTAATGTTTGCTGTTCACAAAAATTACGAAGAAATTATTAACCAGGGCCCAGATGGAAATCTACGTAGACAAGATAACAGTACGGCCCTGCATGATGCAGCTTATACTGGAAATGTTAAAATAGCCAATGTTTTATTGAGCAATGGTGCAGATATAAATGCACAAAATATAAATGAAGGATTGCCTTTAATGCTTGCTGTCAATTGACCAAAATTACAAAGGCATTGCAGAATTCCTTATTATGTAAATGTTACTACATAAATAGTCAACGAAGAAAAAAAATATTTTGATTAAAAGTTTAACTTACAATATTGATTAAATACGAGGTGTGTTTGTATCCAATTTTGCTTAAAAAATGAAATAAATTCTGTGAAATGTTAACAAAGGCCTATAGTGAGTCTGCTATAAGTAAAACAAGAGTTTACAAGTGGTATAAGAGTTTCCAAGATGGCCGTGAAGACGTTGAAGATGACGAACGCCCCGAACGCACAAGCACATTAACAACCGATAAAAACATGGAAAAAGTGGAAGAAATGGTTATAAACCATCAGAGAACTCGCTGATGATGTTGGTATATCGATTGGCTCATCCCATGAAATTTTTTCGAATGTTTTGGGTATGAAACGCGTGGCAGCAAAATTTGTTCCAAAATTGTTAAATTTTGAACAAAATTTTTGGCCAAAAACAATACTGTAATGATGCCCCAGCCTCCATATTCGCCAGATATGCCTCTGTCTGACTTTTTCGTATTCCCAAAAATAAAGAGAACCTTAAAGGGCCGTCGTTTTGCAAGCATAGATGTCATTAAAAGCGCATCGCTGAGAGAACTAAAGGTTATCCCAAAGATCGAGTTTTAGAAGTGTTTCGAGTATTGGAAGAAGAGCTGGCACATGTGCATAATATCCAATGGGGACTATTTTGAAGGCTACAACATTAATGTAGACGAATAAATAAATATTTGTTTCATTAAACGAAAATTCCCGATATTTTCTGAACACACCCCGTATTTGTTTAATAGGGTAAAATTTGTTTAATAGGGTAACATATAAAACGCAATGGATTAAATAATAATTTTTTAATATACGAAAAACATTAAAACAAACAATTATACACCGAAAAAAATAATGTAGTTGAGTTAACATTTGCCTAAATGTCATTTTTAAAAATGTTGTTTCAACAAAAAACCTATTGGATTAATCTATATTTTGGTGTTAAAGCAAAAGTCAGAGTTTGTCAAAGTTTATTTGTTCATTTGACAGTTTAAATATTAATTTAACATAAACTAATATTTTGAATTAAAATGTTTATCGTACTTTGATTTAATAGCTGGAATTTGTTAAATCAACTACTGAAATTTTTAGGATTACCTAAAAAAACTATTAAATTAACGTTTAGTTGCTCTTTAATCCAAAACTTTAAATTTGTTCATTTAACAAATTTAAAATGTTACTTTAAAATTTAAAATGTAAAATTTGCATTCATAAAATTGCCGAGAATGGCGCTTCGAACACTCACGCCACGTCATTAGACAATGACGTTTTCTTACATCTCGCCTTAGTTGGCTTACGATTAGGTGTATATAAGACCAGATATCTGTTTGTTTAAGGTGTGTTCCACAGTAGAACTTTCACTACACCATATTGTCCGACACTGTTAAGACCCTCAATACAGGGCGAAACAGTCTGTCGGTATTTGAAGTAGGTGGAACACCTGATACAAAGATGTATCATGGGTGGAACACGCTCAAAACAAAAACTCTGGGCGAGGTGAAGGTTCAATTCTTTCTATTTATATATAATAATATATTATTTCCATAATTTTGTTTTGGATACCAACCTTTAAAGAATTTTACATTTTCAGAATGTTAATTTAACATTTTATTGGTGTTAAGTGAATATGCTAAAAAGGTTACCTGGACATTTCAAGAAATTTACCTTAACACCCTAAGAATGTTAAATTAACCAAATTAGCAGATTAGAACAAATATTCTTATTTTGTTCATTTGACTGTTATTTGTTGTTCAATTAAACAATACAATTTGACATTTTTAGATGGTTAAGTAAACGTGTGTAATAGGGTAAAAATCTGAAGTTTCACTAAATTTCAAAGAAATGGTTGTTTTGAAGAATTAAGAAATTTAATACTTAGAAGGATTTTTAAGAGAGCCAGATGTCACTTGGGGGGGCCTAGGAGCATGTTTTGGAAGTAATAAATAAATAGATAGAAAGTTTCTTTGTCCCCGAAACGCGCACTAAAAAGTAGCCAGATGATGTTTTTCTTGGAAAAAGCCTTAACGCTCAATTGAAAACGCTTCCCTTTGTTTAAATCGATCGTTGGAAAATTAAATAATAGAGAAAGTAGTTAAAAGAATAATAACAAATTTATTTAGTTAATAATCATTTAGATTAAAGAATTAGGACTAAGATAAGGATATAACCAGCCGTATAGTAGTTTTACCGATAGGTTTTAAGAATTTAATGTAACCCGAGAAAATTGTCTAATTGTATAACTTAGGTTGAAGTAAAAGGGTAGTTAGTAATTGCAGACATAGGATATTTTAATGTTTTGGACTTTGTTAACAGATTTAAATTTTTATAGAAAATAAGTAACTTTGTAGTTAGGCAACCCCGAATTCACCCTAAAGTCAGCGTTAAGTAGGGGTAGAAATTTCTCACTGCACGCCTCTGATTGGCCAGAAACTTCAACCCTGAGGCAAGTCACGCCCTCGACTTAAGAAAGTCTTTAAATACTCTGTACCACAGGGTTTGACAGATTTTATCTTGCAAGATTTCGCGCGCGTCGTTTCCGAGTTCGAAGGTCGAAGTTCTAGCCAGTCAGTGTAATTAATAAAGTCAGGTATATTGTTAAGTTTATTGTAAAGTTGCTTATACAGGTGCTCGCAGTTACGTTCACCTTAAGTGACCGGTTTAGTTTAAAATTTGTAGTTTAAAGTATTAGTTTTATAAGATTCATTTAGGTTACCTTTTTCTAAAGTTAATTTAGTTTTCGCTTATCAGTTTAATTCAAAAGTTAGTTTTTTAATCTTAATTTCTCCGTAAATTCTTTGTTAATTTTCTTTACCGTTAAATTATTAATTTTTCTTATTTCCTTTGTTAATTTTTATTCTTCTTCTTAATTGTAAATATATTGTTTGTGGTTAGAATCGGCTGTGTTTCTTTGGGTACCTGTTAATTCTAATTACCCAGTGCTTGGCAAGCGTAAGTATATCGGGATTCGCGAAGTGTTCCGGGAGATCCGTCGCGAGTGACTTAGTGTGGTAATTCGTGCTTATTGGGATTACCAAATCATCGGCAACCGTCGCTGGATTAAAGGTCAGATTAGTGGTAACATCCTTGTAACGGACTGATAGTAGTCTATATCAGCCCCGCTCCCCGCGTTAATTAACCCAAAAAACCACCCGTTACAACTGGTGTCAGATTAACCGATTTAGGAACTAATTTTACCTCAAAACTCTTCGAAAAAATGTGCAACCTTTTGAAAATTAAACATTTGAAAACGACTGCGTATAGACCGCAATGCAACGGAGCATTAGAAAGGTTTCATAGGACATTAAAAGATTTATTGTCACATTACGTTCAACCGAATCATAGAGACTGGGATATTTGGCTACCGTTCGCTTTAGCATCGTATTGTTCCTCAACACATAGCGCCACAGGTGAAAATCCTTTCTTTTTATTGTTCGGTAGAGATATGGATTATCCATATGACGAGATGTTCAAGCCACTACAGGTAAAGTACGATAACGACGTAAATTATGTCTCGGAATTTTTAAATAGGATGAAAATAGCGCACAAAAATGCAATAGATATGATAGAGAGAAATACAGAAAGGGTGCACGACACATTTAATAGAAAAGCGGAATTACACAAGTTTAAAATAGGAGATAGAGTATATGTGTTCGATCCGTCAGATAAGCCAGGAATAAGCAGGAAATTAACAAAGAGATGGAAAGGACCTTATAGAATTATAAATTTAAATAACGTTACCGCCGAGGTAAAAGAAATACACGGGAATAAAATAGACAAAGTACATGTTAATAGATTAAAATTATGCCTAGCAACGGAAAATCAGGTAAATCAAATGGGACTTATACCCATTAAGGTAAGACAAACGAACGATTTAAACAAGTATCCAACGATCGGATTGTATACCGAGGAAGACCCCGAGCATATACCAAGGAAAGTTAATAATACAATAACACAATCGTCCAGTTCACAACATCAAGAAATTAATTCTTCAGCAAGGGATAATAATTTTTCTTTCAGGAACATTGATAATAATCCAAATCTAGTTTTCAGTAAAGATCCCCCTGTAGCTTTCGATCAGCAAGTAAACCCAACAAATACGGAGACAGCAACAAATTCAACAGCCAAAGTGAGGTCCTCTACACCAACCAGGAAAGAAAAGCCGACCGAGTTACATCCCATGGTTCTGCGTAGCAGAGGGAAGGCCGAAACACAGCCATGGATGTATAAGAGAAGAAAATAAATATCGTTAAACCAAAATATTTTAGATCCTCATTTAGTTTTCGAAATGTTTTAGAAATGTCCACCACGGGGGTAATCAAAAGAAGAAGGCGGAAATAACAACGAGCCAACAAATATGCATCCAAGGAGAATCGCACACAATCAAAAGTCCAATCAGACCGTCCAAAGAATCCAATTGGACCAAAGCGGCCTGTTCCAGCCTATCACAGCATCCCAGACGTACCATGCCAAGATGTAAACGAAGAAGACGACCGCACCTCAGGAACAACAATATTGCAAAGGGACGCAAAGAAGTTCAAAAAGAAAGAAAAAGAAGCCAATAGCCTAGAAGAAAGAAAAGTTATGACGAACCCAGCAGTTAGAACGATTTAAGATGATTAGCCACAAAATCATTCTATATGTCAAACGTTACAATGACTAAAGAACCTTGAAGAATACACCAGCAGCATAGCAGATGCAGGAAATAGCAGCAACAACCCCGGTAGCAATCCAATCATCAGCGCCAACACCTACAAGTACAAGGAGCAACGTTGGAGAAAAACTAAACCAACCTAGAAAGTGCAGAGACGAACAAGTGAAGTGTTTGGTGCGTGATACAGTGACACAAACATAGTGAGAGTTAAAGAACAGACCAAGCCTGAGTGAAATCATGGACTAGGGAAAGACTAATTAGTATAGATTTAAGAGGATTGTACACCTTATATTTAGTTTGTTAGTTTTAGTTTAAGTTGCTTGGTTTTTTAACGAATCAATTTGTTATTTTGCAATTTTTTTTTATTGATTCGTTTAAAAAGGGGGGAGTGATGTAATAGGGTAAAAATCTGAAGTTTCACTAAATTTCAAAGAAATGGTTGTTTTGAAGAATTAAGAAATTTAATACTTAGAAGGATTTTTAAGAGAGCCAGATGTCACTTGGGGGGGCCTAGGAGCATGTTTTGGAAGTAATAAATAAATAGATAGAAAGTTTCTTTGTCCCCGAAACGCGCACTAAAAAGTAGCCAGATGATGTTTTTCTTGGAAAAAGCCTTAACGCTCAATTGAAAACGCTTCCCTTTGTTTAAATCGATCGTTGGAAAATTAAATAATAGAGAAAGTAGTTAAAAGAATAATAACAAATTTATTTAGTTAATAATCATTTAGATTAAAGAATTAGGACTAAGATAAGGATATAACCAGCCGTATAGTAGTTTTACCGATAGGTTTTAAGAATTTAATGTAACCCGAGAAAATTGTCTAATTGTATAACTTAGGTTGAAGTAAAAGGGTAGTTAGTAATTGCAGACATAGGATATTTTAATGTTTTGGACTTTGTTAACAGATTTAAATTTTTATAGAAAATAAGTAACTTTGTAGTTAGGCAACCCCGAATTCACCCTAAAGTCAGCGTTAAGTAGGGGTAGAAATTTCTCACTGCACGCCTCTGATTGGCCAGAAACTTCAACCCTGAGGCAAGTCACGCCCTCGACTTAAGAAAGTCTTTAAATACTCTGTACCACAGGGTTTGACAGATTTTATCTTGCAAGATTTCGCGCGCGTCGTTTCCGAGTTCGAAGGTCGAAGTTCTAGCCAGTCAGTGTAATTAATAAAGTCAGGTATATTGTTAAGTTTATTGTAAAGTTGCTTATACAGGTGCTCGCAGTTACGTTCACCTTAAGTGACCGGTTTAGTTTAAAATTTGTAGTTTAAAGTATTAGTTTTATAAGATTCATTTAGGTTACCTTTTTCTAAAGTTAATTTAGTTTTCGCTTATCAGTTTAATTCAAAAGTTAGTTTTTTAATCTTAATTTCTCCGTAAATTCTTTGTTAATTTTCTTTACCGTTAAATTATTAATTTTTCTTATTTCCTTTGTTAATTTTTATTCTTCTTCTTAATTGTAAATATATTGTTTGTGGTTAGAATCGGCTGTGTTTCTTTGGGTACCTGTTAATTCTAATTACCCAGTGCTTGGCAAGCGTAAGTATATCGGGATTCGCGAAGTGTTCCGGGAGATCCGTCGCGAGTGACTTAGTGTGGTAATTCGTGCTTATTGGGATTACCAAATCATCGGCAACCGTCGCTGGATTAAAGGTCAGATTAGTGGTAACATCCTTGTAACGGACTGATAGTAGTCTATATCAGCCCCGCTCCCCGCGTTAATTAACCCAAAAAACCACCCGTTACACGTGCAAAAACCATTGCTTGTATTTAAAGTGCATAAAGAGTTGAATTAATATTTTTTTTGTTGTTTCAACAGCTTATTTTTTTCAGTGTATGCTGTCAGGAGTTAATCCAAAATTATTTCTTGCTGTTAAATCGGCTCCACTTTGAATCAACATATTTTTTATTTGTTCGTTTCCATTTAATACCGCCAAATGTAAAGCATTATTTCCGATTTTTTTTTCTTGAAGACTTGTATTTGCTCCCTTAGTTAATAAAAATTTAACCATCTCCGCATGGTTTTTGAAAACTGCTAACAGTAAAGCCGACCATCCATATATATTTTGTGCATTAATATCTGCACCGTTGCTTACTAAAACATTGCCTATTTGAACATTTCCAGTACGAGCCGCTTTGTGCAGCGCCGTTTCGTTATATTGGCTATCACATAGATTTACATCTGCACCCTGGTTAATAAGGAATTCTGCAGTTTCTGTGTGATTAGTAATGATAGCAAACATTAAAGGCGAATATCCATTTTTATTTTGTGCATTTATATCTGCACCGTTTTCCACTAGAACATTGGCTATTTTAACAATTCCAGCACAATGCAGGGCCGTACTTTTATCTTGGGCACGTAGATTTACATCCGCACCCTGGTTAATAAGGAATTCTGCAGTTTCTTCGTAATTTTGTCCGACAGCAATCATTAAAGGCGATAATCCATTTATATCTTGTGCATTTACATTTACACCGTTGCTTACTAAAACTTTGGCTATTTTAACATTTTCAGCAAAATGCAGGGTCGTAGTTTTATCTTGTGCACGTAGATTTACATCCGCGCCCTGGTTAATAAGGAATTCTGCAGTTTCTGTGTGATTTTGACTGACGGCAAACATTAAAGGCGATAATCCATTTATATCTTGTGCATTTACATTTACACCATTGCTTACTAAAACTTTGGCTATTTTAACATTTTCAGCAAAATGCAGGGCCGTAGTTTTATCTTGTGCACATAGATTTACATCCGCGCCCTGGTTAATAAGGAATTCTGCAGTTTCTTCGTGATTTTTGCCGACAGCAAACATTAAAGGCGATAATCCCTTTATATCTTGTGCATTTACTTTTACACCGTTTTTCACTAGAACATTGGCTATTTTAACTTTTCTAGCAAAATGCAGGACCGTACTTTTATCTTGTGCACATAGATTTACATCCGCTCCCTGGTTAATAAGGAATTCTGCAGTTTCTTCGTGATTTTTGCCGACAGCAAACATTAAAGGCGATAATCCATTTATATCTTGAGCATTTACATTTACACCGTTTTTCACTAAAACATTGGCTATTTTAACATTTCCAGTAAAAGCCGCATGATGCAAGGCCGTATGATTATCTTGTTTATCACGTAGATTTACATCTGCGCCCTGGTTAATAAGGAACTCTGCAATTTTTTCGTAATTTCGGTTGACAGCAACCATTAAAGGCGATTTTCCATTTATATCTTGTGCATTTATATTTGCACCGTTTTTTATTAAAATCGTAACAATTTCCAAATCTCCATTTAAAGCTGCTAATGATAAAGCTGATAAATTAAATCTTCCATTTTTATTGATGTTTACTCCATTACGAATTAAAATTTTTATAATGTCTACACTTTTGTTATATACTGATAAATGTAAGGAATTTATTGGTTGGCCTAAAAACTGTAAAGTATTTTTAACTATTTTTTTTTTTATATTTGGCTGATTTATTAAAACATTAAGTAATACGTAATGATTAGAGGCCATAATATTGCAGAGAAATTCATCTTCATAAGATTTTGGTAAATTAATATCAATATCATAAATGCATATTGTGTTCAAAATATTAAGACTTTTGGTTAGCCAAATGTAATTTATAACATCATTGTTCAATTTATCCTTATTATATATAATATACTTCGTACAACTTCTTTTTAAAAGTGTGTCCATTATAAAATCCGCATTTAAAAATGGATTAGTTTTTTTTGTAAAAAATATATTAATTATATAATTATAGGGATAACTTATAAAATTATCATAACTTCCATAAGTGGCCACAATATGTAGGACAGTCCTACCCAACCTATCTGTTTTCATTATATTGTCATCATCATCCATGATTGATATATGTTTGACATCGTTTCTTAATGCTGCAAAATGTAAAGGCAAGTCATGACATAGGATTAAATCAAAAAAATATTTAATTTGATCTAAATTTATATCTTTCAATATTTCTTCAAAAATATTTATAAAAAAATTCTTTTCTAAGCATATTTCACTTAAAAACTGAGCACATAAAAACTCTGCAAACGTTCGGTGTATAAATATTGGTTCTTCTTTAATATTAAAACCGCCTATAATATTATCTTTTGTTTCGTTAACTGTTCTTTGAAAATCTTCGTAATCCCCTTCAAATTGTTTTTCATTAAAAAAATTATTAAAATGCTGCTTAAAAAATATTCGAAACGCCAAAGCCTTTATGGTATGTTTATCTCTGTTTCTATAATGTTTCATATATATTTTTAAATATTTATCATATAAAACAACTAAATTCATATTTTTAATTTCATTTAAGTCGGGCAAAATTTCCACCAATAGTTTTAATAATAGAGGAATTCCAAGAAAACTTTTTTCCACCTTCAATTCGTCAATGACACCATCGATATAATCGACAGATAATGAATTCGACTGTTGAAGAAACTGTATTTGATCTTCTCTTGAAAATTGAATTATATTAAATGATGGGACGTAAAGTTCATTTTCCAAAATATTTTTCATTGTTGTTCTTGTTTAAATGAGAATGGGAACTTGTAATAAATTAGAAATTGTATCAATAACTTTAGTTTTTAGATCCGTTTCATCGAAAGCATCTATAATTATAAAGAGCTTTTTGTTTATTATTCTGTTTTCAAATAGTTCGATTAAAAAGTGTTTACAACGATTAAACATTACCTTTCCAACTTGGTTTATTAATAAATATTCAATTAACATTTTTTTATCGTTTAAAATTTTATCATCGAAGATATAATTGTTTTTCAAATTAACCACATAATACTCTTTTGGAAGAGTATATTCCATGTTATGGAGCATGGAAGATTTGCCCATACCAGCATTTCCATGAATTATATTTATAGGAAGATTTAACTCTAATAATTCATTTTCATTGATACTTCCATTTACCTTGAATTGACTCAAAGTGTCAATATCACCAGTATAAGCATAACATAAGAAATTTTCATGAAATTTGAGCAGGCAACAATACGACCCTTGAAATTTTTCCTTTAAATAAGTTTTTGTTTTCCATATTGATTCCTTGGAATACACTGTCGTATACTTAAACTTGCTGTCTGTAGAATATACTTTCAAAAAATCTGAAAGTTCTAAGAAGTTATCCTGGTGTTCGAGTCTAAGTTTTTTAAATAAACTACGTGGTAGGAGTTCATTTCTACTTGCATGGACCACACATAGAAAATTTTCGTTTTCAAATACTTTTTCATTAAATATCAAAGGTTCCAATTTTCTCGGAATATAAAACGGTTTGGTGTCGCTGGATTTAAAACAAGTTTCTTTAGCCGAACAAAGCTTTACGTATACGTCTGAAGTAATGCCATCTGTAAAGTTTAATTCTTTTAACGAAATTGAATCCTCGGGATGAAGTTTAATTTTTATTAGATCCAAGTTCTTTTCTTTGAGGTCCATATTCCTTATGTTGTTAAAGTTAAAGGTATTTAAATTTTCCAGGGGGATGTCAAAATCTGTTTTATTTTGCAATACCACTGATGAGTTGGAAAGAAAATGTTTCAACACAAATTTTAATTGTTGCTTATTTTCCTGGGTGTAAATTAATGGAAGAGGCGCTTCTTTTTTCATCCATAAGAGAAATATTAAGTCCTTGTATAATAATTCGTTATTCTTAATATATTTTAAAGTTTGATGATATGGTTCTTCGAATGTTACATTTTCCGGTAATTTTGTATGCCAAAGTTCTTTGCTGAAATTATTTATGTCGAAACGAGTTTCAATAATTTTAATTATAATTCCTAAAATTATAGTAATCGATTCATCGGACAATGTGGAAAGATGAAATAAATTTAGTGTTTCTATTATTATATCAGCGTTTTTAATCTCAATATTATAGTGAACTTTTTCAAGTACCTTGTCTACGAATGGGTACAACATTTTAACTTTTAACATCCATATAATTTCTTCTTTTGTTACGAATTCGTTTCTATCCAGGTATACTCTATCGAAATAAGTTAATATTAGTTGTAATTGTTCTTCCTTAACTTTTTCCTTTAACTCTCCATTTATTATTTTTAATAGTTCGTTGATACTGCTTTGACTTGAAAATATGAAGCAATTGTTTATAAAATCGTCTATCATTTCGGTAATTGATTTATCATTTATATTTAAACCTTTTCTAGTGTATTTATGAACATGACCGTTTTTGTTGGTATTAAATATGTTCAGTTTGGAATCAAAATTATCGATATCATTTAACGCTTGATCCTGCGGTATATCACTCTTTTTTGCGTTTGTATGTATAATGACGTTTATTTTAACATTTTCATAGTTTTTTTTAATGCAATTATAATTCACGATATATTTGTTTAAATTTAATTTGATTTTTTTACTTCCACCGGTATGATGTTTAAGCTGGCAAACAAACATTTCTCGTCCTCCATCGTTATGTTCCACGTCCATTATAACATCATCCAATTTTCCAAAATTGTCTAGGTTCGATCCAATTTTAAAGTCCTTTATTTTCGTATCCAATGCGCAGCGTATCGCTAGCAGGGAAAATAAACGCTGCTCATAGATGAATCCCGAAACTGGGCCCTTAAACAAAGTAAGTATATTTATTAGAGGATGCTGTGAATATAGTGTACAGGGTGGTCCACGTAAGGTGACCCATATACTTATCTCAGAAACTACTGGAGTCTACTACGAAGTAAAAAATATTTTTAAAATATTATATTTTCATTTATACAGGGTGTTCGGTTTTCCTTGGGACGATACCAACTTTCTTATTTTCAATGGAACTTTTTTGCATTTTTGGATTCTTCACGCTCTTTTAGGTAAGAAAATGTTAATACTTTTTGAGTAAAATTAAGATTTATTAAAATTTCTCTAAATGTAGACACTCGCTAAAAGTTAAAAATAACCAACTAAAAGTTATTATTTTTTATATTATGTAGTATCCATCTCTTTAATAATAAGTAAGCTATAAGTTAATTATTATATTTTTTGGAAAATATCATACAGGGTGTTTTCTATGTCCCGTTGAAAATAGCGATTTTAAAAGTTTAAAATCTTGTTTTTCTTCAATGGAACACCCTATATATTTTTGCATAATTGGATAGAATAAGTAATTACCTTTCATTTTATATATATATGTCCTATACCTAATCCTAACAGAAAAAAAAATATTCGCATTTTTCACAATTAGTAGCTTTTTTCCAATTACCTTAGTTAAATTTTCATTATTCAAAGAAAACACCCTGTATAATATTTTCCAAAAAATATTTTTAACTTTTAGCGATTGTCTACATTTAGAGAAATTCTAATAAATCCTCATTTTACTCAAAAAGTATTAACATTTTCTTAATTAATATATTTACAAAGTATACCTAAAAGAGTGTGTAGAATCCAAAAATGCAAAAAAATATAGGGTGTTCCATTGAAAATAAGAAAGTTGGTATCGTCCCAAGGAAAACCGAACACCCTGTATAAATGAAAATATAATATTTTAAAAATATTTTTTACTTCGTGAATATTTGTTTCTTACAAATTTTTTGTGACTCCAGTAGTTTCTGAGATAAGTATATGGGTCACCTTACGTGGACCACCCTGTACATTTATTTTACCAAATCACCACTACACGCGAAGAGCATGTGATAAAACATTTAGTCCTGATTGACCAATAGCGTACCGAGGACGTTGCTATCACAAATTTAGCTGGCGAAACAATTGTTTAAAACCCCTTAAACAGCACAAATAAATGAATTATATATAATTAATTTATTTGTGCTGTTTATATATATCAAATATTTCAGTCATTTTTAAACAGAGAAAAGCTAGATCCCAAGTAGCAGAACTGAAGAATTAGTTCACTAAAAAAAAATATTCTTGTATCAAATAAATTTATTTGATTCAAAACAATCTTTGAGAATATATTCTTTAAAATAGTAATGTAGGTATTTTCTTAATTCACGTTGTTAAATTTCTTTAAATAAAACTTTGATTCTTTAAAAGCAAGAATATATAATTTTTGAAATAAGGCAGCAATATTTTTAAATAAAAAAAATATTTAATACAAGAAAATGCATTTTCTTCAAAAAAAAAAACGAAGTAAGATATTGAAATAATAGTTATTTATGTCATTAGGTTAAGAAGTAAGGCTTTTTGTGCTAAGCTCAAGGTTTGAAGGCCGACGCGAGGTCTACAATTGAGCGAAGCTCAAAAAGGCCCTTCTTGGCCGAATGGCATACAACATTTTATCTTTAAAGCACTTTATATAGGTCAATTTAATTCAACATCAAAGCGGCCTAACCTCACTTTTTTAGAATCTCATTTATTTATTAGCTAAAGATTACTTTAAATGTACAATAATTATTATTGCTTTTAGA